ATTTTTAAAAATCTTTCTTCTTTGCATAATGTTCATTAGTTTTGACCAAATTTTTACATCTTGTATAATGGAACTAAACATGCATTGTCTGTTTTTTTTTTTAATTTATTGATGGACCATGACTTCAGATGTTTAGGTGTTGGCTTCATTATCAGTGTACTAATGAGATTAACTCTATTATCCTTGAGGTAAATAGTTGGGTCAATGTCGGCTATATCAGTACTAAACTAAATTTATTTTGCATTCAATTTTCTTTTTGTTTTTAAAATATAGTGTACCAATGAATGTGTTTTTTTTTAATGACCGGGTTTATTATAGACCGAAATCCGAACTAGTATTTGAAATCCATAGTACAGTAATTCGAATATTTTTGTCATTTAAAACGCTTATGGGTGATAGGGATAAGTTCTAAAGTTCTTTTCCTATCATGTTATTTTTTTAATATATCTATAGTTTCTTGAACAAACCACATTTAAGTATAAGTATCATATTGATTTTGCAATAGTTTGTGTTTTATCCCCACATTAATTCAGAGGACCGTATTAGTTACAGCGTTTTGTCCATCGTCCTTTTGAATCAACCACCATTACTTTAATGAATATACTCAATACCAAGATATACCGACTTTGATTGCTTCATGGTTCCAAATTTATTACTAATGCTAGCTTTTCCCAATAATATGTTGAGTGGAACTTTCAACGGTTAGAAAAGGAGTAGAAGTAACATTTCACCGGTAAGTATCTATTTACTGACACATCAAATTTGGGTTTCTATTTATGATCAGAAAATAGTAAGCGAATAGGAAAGTTAGGGTTTCTTTTTATGATCAGAAAAGAGTAAGCGAACAAGGAAATTACTGTGTTGTAATAGTAGTAAGAAAATCAGTTTGACTGAGTTTATGATTTTTAAACAAAAATAAGAAAGGGTAAAGCTTACCAAGAGCAATAAATGATGTTGAAGAAGTAGAAGAAGCCATATTTGATTATTATTTTGACTGCATTCATTGAGTAATTTCAAACAATCTTATGTTAATAAATGTGAGAGCATCTGTGCCCTTAATATTATAATAATCTAAATGTATATGTCTCTTTCTGCTGTTTTCCAACAATTTTCGCAGTATCGTTTTCTCACTGTACATTTATTATTCGTATTTAGCAGTACTTTTATGTCACATTTTTAGCATTTTTTAGAAAATTCGTGTTGCCCAAAAAAAAAAGAAAATTCGTATTTAGAAAAGTAATGGCTTTTTTTCTTTTCTCCCATGCTATTATTTTTTTTGAACGAAAAGTACTAGTACTCTAATATGTAACTACCAAAATGATTACTTTTTATAAATAAGCAAAGCTTCAATCGACATAATAATGAAAAAAGGGATAAAATTTGAAATGGTCCCTGGACCATTGATGATCCTTAACTACTGTTCATACCAAACCATAGAGGAGAATTTCGGTTACAATTTATTGCCATCGATTCTTATATAAACCGTAGAACTTTGGTGTACAAACGTACAAATTCAAAACAAGTGAGAAATAAATAAAAAATCTACGAGAAGCTTTTTCTCAGGAAGAACAGGGAATATACCTAAACCCGTGAAATTTGGAACATCCTCTTTATTTTACAAAATTTCATTTTCAAATAAAATTAGAAAAAGGTGGGAAAATAACAATACACGAAAAAAAGCTGTGAAACTTACGTTCCGTAGAATCGCGTGACGCGTTTTGTGACTATCCTTTTCCACGTTACTTGATTTGTCGAATTTCTCCCTTTTTTTTTTTGTAAAACTATATTTTTTAAAATACACAAATAAAATTCTGACCAAAGAAATTATATTA